AGCGGAGCCACACGGCCCGGCCCACCTCGGAACTCACTGCAGAGAAAGGTGGCAGGTGGGGGGCGCCCTGGCAGTAGGCTGAGGCCCCCCAGCCCCCTGACCCCTACTTACTGCACACCAAGGCCAGCACCATCCTCAGCAGCTTGTAGGGACACCTCATCCCAGCCCAGTTCTGATGGGGCGTGAGACAGAGGCTGTGAGGCAGGCCTTGCAGGCCCCTCCCCACACCCGCCCCGCAGTCTGCCCCGTTACCATGACGACGTTGGCCAGGTGTGCCGAGCACAGGGCGTAGACCCCACCAGAGCCCCCCACCACAGGGGCCCGCATGTCGGTAATGGAGACAGTCAGGGAGCCTGTGTGAGCAAAGGGAGAGCCGTGAGGGTGAGGCTCACCAGGAAGATGGCCAGGGGTCCCGTGCCTGCCTCACCTGCCAGCACACCGGCCAGGTAGAGCAGGCTGATGCGGAGCAGACCGTGCACCATCTCCAAGGGCACCCCGATCATGAGCTGCAGGAGCGCGTTGAACCCTAGTTGCTCCAGGCTGGCCGTGTGGGTACAAACAGATAGGAGGTCAGCGGTCAGGCTGCCAGCCCGACGGGACGGATGCCAGAGGTGGGCCCCCACTCACCCGACGTGCATGAACATGTAGGTGAGGAAGCGCCAGGCTCGAGCACGGTGGCCGGGATGGTACACGAGTGGGCTCTTCATGTACTCGGGGTGGTAGGTCTGCAGCACCCACTTGTTGAGGCGGGCCCCGTAGCACAGGAACACGATGATCTGGGAGAGAGGGTTAGGGCCAGGCAGGGCCAGGCCTGTGGGTGGCCGCTGGGTGGCGGGCAGGTGGGCACACCTGGGCAAGGGTGACTGAGGCCATGAACACGGGGGGTGGGCAGCTGCGGTGCCGGTAGAAGTACCAGTGGCGGTCCACCTCTCGGGGCAGGATCTCGTAGGCCACGTAGCGCACAAACCGCTTGTAGACACCCAGGCCTGGCTCATCCAGCAGCCCGTCCCGCGGCAGTGCCCTCTGTCCATTGGCGATCGCCCGCTTAAAGCTGCTTGAGCGCTTACTGCTGATCTGGAGGGGGGTGGCCCTAAGCATGGGCCACCATACTCCCCGCCCTCCCCAGAGCCACCCTGCCCCTTGGCCCGCCCAGCTCCTGGTCCAGTCGGAGTCCCTGCCCCAAGTCCACACCCCTCCCTGCTGGGAAGGGCAGGGAGAGGGGGCTGTCTGCCCACCCCACTCGGACCAGGCACTGTGCCTGCCAAGGCCTAAGCCCCTACCCCTGCTATCCACCCATTATGGCACTGACCAGGTCCACCAGCTCCTGGTAGCAGACCTGGCCCCGTTCGTTGCTCTGGGCCAAGGCCACCAGCATGTCCAGCTTGGCCGGGTCCAGGGGCAGCTCATGGCTGTGCACCAGGCCGGTGAAGGTGTCCGCACCGATGAAACCTGTGTGCTCAGGGTCCAGCTGCTGGGGTGGGGGGGCCATCGGCCAAAGCTTGAGGGTAGGTCAGGCTTCCCAGGCCACAGGGCTGGGCCAGGCCAGCTGTGAGAGGCAGGCTCCAAGCACCCCGGGGCCAGACCTCTGGACCAGCACAGTCCCAGGAGCCACCAAGGGACCAGTGCCTGGGTCCCAGGCCTCCAGCTCCTCCAGCAATTAGGGACCTCCCCACCTCATTTCTGCCCTGCCCATCCTCCTAGAAAGGTAGGGCCGAGGTCTGAGGACGATCTCCCTCCCTCCTATACCTCCCCAGGACCCCTGATCTGGCTCACCCTCTTCTGGGGTGTCAGGCAGGGGGCCAAGGTCGCGGGAGAGGGGGCCGAAGAGTAGGCGCGGAGCGGGGACTGGACCGCGGCTCTCTGGGAGCTCTGTCGCCTCGGCCCAGCCCAGCGGCGGGAGGGCTGCGGCGGGGGCGGTACCGGCGCCCCCCACCCACCCCACGCACCTGCTCCTGGATAAGCTGCAGCAGCGAGCTCCTGTCCATAGAGCCAGGCGGGGCCGGGGGCCGGGGTCGGCGGCCGCGGCCGGAAGGGGCTGCTCTGCGGACGACTCCGCTCCGCCCCGGCCCGCCTGCTCCGCCCGCTCCGCTCGGCGCCGCGTCACGGAGCCAGAGCCGCCCGCCCCCGCGCGCGCGCTGCCGCCGCCGGCCCCTCCACTCGCGGCCGGGACACGCGCGCGCCCTGCTTGCGGACGCGCCCCGAGAAGGAACGGCCCCGACCAGAGCTCGGGTCTTGCCGCCCCGCTCACCGCCTTCCCGTTCTGTGCCTGGGCTGCTCACCAAGCGGGCACAGCGGCCGGGAAACTGAGTCACAGGGCAGCACCTAGATGCCTCCCTCGCGCGCCCCTCTGCTTGGGGCTTCAGCGCTGAAGCCCCCTCCTGGCTGCCCAGGACGCCTTCCTCAGGCCAGGGAACCCTGCCAGGCACGCACCGCAGCCCCACCGTGAGCCCCACCACCTGCTAAAGGGCGACTGGTGGGGGCAGGTGGGGAAGGCTTGGTGCAGCTGCCTCCACTCGGTCCACGGACACCAACCCACAGCACCCACCTGGGACCAGAGACCCCTGACCACTCCCGTGGCTCAGTGCTGGACAGGGGGACCTCCAGCTCCGCGAGTTCATGGGTAGCCCAGGCAGACCCATGGACGTCAGTGTGGGGCTGCAGCTGGGCTAGGAAAGGGTCCCTACTTCCTGGGGAGGGCAAGAAGAGCTCTCCATAGAAGGAGGCGACAGAGACCACGGGGATGTGCCGTCAGAGCAACCCCTCATGGGCCCCTCACAATCCTGATGCCACAGTCCACCCTCCTGGCAGCCAGCCCCACCCAAAGGCAGGTGAGAACCACACCCATAGGACGAGGGCCAGCGGGGCTGGGAGGCCGGTGGAAGAACAACTTCAGGGTCAAGCCAGACCTGTGTCAGGCTACAGCATCTCTGCGGAGCATCACCTCCCACAAGCAGCACCTTGGGGCTTGGGGGAGGCTGCCTTGCAGAGAGGGCCCGATGCCAGGAAGGAGGGCATGCCCAGCCACACTGCAGGCTCTCTGCTCCAGGCCCCAGAACACATACCAAGTAGATGACCGGGCCCCACACTGGGCCCTCTCCCCAGCCCAACAAAGGTTCTCAGTTCCCCACCCTGTAGGGTGGGGCTCTCTGGCTGTCCCCCACCCAGGGCGGGGGGCTAAGGCATCTGGCCAGGGTGTGAAGAAAAATGGCAATTTCCCAGGCCGGTCCAACCCTGCACACCAGAAGCAGAGTGTCTGGGCACACCCCAGTCCCATCCCAGAGTCCTAGACCCTCGGCACACCCCAGCCAGACTGCTGAGCTCGCGGCAGGCGGAAGCAGCCATCAGGAAGGTCTCGCTTCTCAGAACCCCGCAGGCCAGCTCAGGCCTGGATGGATGCAGAGGTTCCCAGACCACAGCTGGGCCCTGAGAGAGACCTCAGAATGGGGACCCAGGCCTGGAGAAGGATGTGGGGCTCAGGAGTGAGGTTTCCAGCCCATGCTGAGACAAAGGACGTGTTGTAGTGGATTCGAGAAAAGTCGCCTTCAGAAAACAGGATCCCAGGTGCAAAAGACACAAGTGAAGTTTAATCAGGGGACCCCGCTTCGTGTCTTCCGGGAGGAGTGAGGGAGGCCCTGAGATGCTCAACCACGTCATTCCCCAGCCCCCACCTTTGGCCCAGAGTTCGGTCTTCTGACCCCCTTCACGCCCCCTGGCTGCTGTGCAGAAAGGAGCGGAGCCCTGAGGACACGTGGGTCTGGGGCTCCTGCTTCCTCCCCCAGGACGCCCCGTCCCTCCAACATGTGACACCCCAACCGGGTGGTGCCTGGCGTCTGTAGCTGGGTAGGGACACAGGCTGCAGGACTGGGGGGACCTGTCCTTGGGGCTCAGGCAGGCCAGTGGGCAGTGTCCCCAGAAGCCCAGGTGAGACAGAAGGAAGACCTCGCGAGCAGGTGGCCCCCACACCAGTACCCTGGTGGCCTCACCGGCTCTTCACCAGGGCCCTGTAGAGTGAGAAGCTGAGGACAGCAGTGACAGCAGCCCCAATGGCCCCCAGTGTCGCCCGCAGCCAGAAGGAGGTGGTGTGCAGCTCCCCGTGGGCCAGGTGTCTGTAGGAGAGAGAGGCTGGCTGGAGGCGCCCCAGGGGTGCTGCCCAGATGCCCGCTGTCAGAGCCCCCACCCCACCTCCTGGGGCTGCTCTCTGTCCGCGTGGGCCCAGCCGAACGCCCCGAGCACAGGGCCCACCCCACACCCAAGTGACTCTGGCCTCGACGCTACAGCGGCCCTGCCCTCCGGGCCACTGGGACCACTGGTTCCCTGGGATGGCGCCCGGCCTCCCGCCACAGGGCCGCGTGCGGGTACACACGGGAAAGCGGCCATGGCGGCGAGCCGGGTGAACACAGCAGTGCTGGGCTTGGCCGGACCCACACATGAGAACAGAGCAGGGGCGGGCAGCCGGTGTCTGCGACAGAACTCCGCAGGCGACAGGCCGGGTGGCGAGATGCCTTCAGGCAGGTCTGCCTTAGAGGAGACAAAGAGGCAGGGGGTCTGCCCATCCAGGTAGTGGCGCTGCAGAGAGAGGCTGCGTGAGGGGACCGTCCGGGCGGCCGAGGCGTGGGGACTGCCCCAGAGGGACGTGCCAGGGGGAGCTTGCCTTGTAGACATTGGCGCATAGCGCAAAGGACCCAGGGTCGCTGCCGTCGAACACCAAGCAGGCCACGTCACAGGAGGCATCGGGCGCAGTGCCCAGCAGGCTGTCCGCACTCGTCTCGCACAGCTAGACAAAGGCTGAGCTCAGGGAGGGGTGCAGGGCCAGCCCCGTGGGCCACAGTGACACAGCACACCCCAGCGTGGACCCAGGGTCTGTCCCGGGGACCCCAGCACTCACTATCAGGTACTTCTCCTGCCCGTTGACCTGCACCGTGTTGATGGCATAGGTGGCTCGTCCCTCCGCGGGCTCCCTGGTGTCCTGGTGTGGAGAAGGGAGACGACTGAAGCTCGCTGGCCCAGACGCTGCCCAGAGCCCCCACCGGCACCCTACAGATACTCACCCCAAGGCTGCGGCCGAGAAAGGCCTGCAGGAATGCGGACTTGCCCACTCCACGGGCCCCCACCACCTTGCACAAGAGAACGTTCCTCTGTGTCTGCCCCTTCTCCTGGTCCAGCCTCTTCTCACGAGTGACTGCGGATGGACAACCAGGGGCAGTGTGACCAAGGGGGGTACCAGGAGGGGGCGCTGGGCTTGGGGGGAGGGCGGGCACCCACCTGAGATGGCGTAGGCCTGTGAGTCCTGCTCGCAGAGCGTGGGGTAGCCCAAGTAGCCAAGGTGCTCGAGACAACGCTGGACATCCACGTAGGTCACCAGGCTGAGGGCGGGAGGGGCGGGCAGCGCAGGGTCAGGGCCGAGCGGCCGGCATGGGCAGTGTTTCCATGGGTGAGGGCTGAACTCACGTCCACTGGCAGAGGTACCCATGCAAAGACAGCCGGCCCGCCTCGGTGCAGACCTCGAGAGGCAGCTGGGGGCCCCACGGGGCAGCGGGGAACACGCTGAAGAAGCTGTCCAGCTCTGCAGGCGAGAGGCAGCCGTCGCGGTCCTGCAGGCAGAGGGGCTGCAGTGACACGGGCCCGGAGGCAGGCGGGATCGCGGCGGTGCAGGGCAGAGCTCACGACACCCTTACCCGGTCGTGCTTCTCAAACACCCTCTGCACAAACTGGTACCCGAAATGATTGAGCTCGGTGCTGCAGCCGGGGGGCACGTGGAGCCTGCGGGGAGGCGGGGGAGTCCGGTTCCCGGGTCCTGGGGGAGCCCCTTGCCCACCACGCTCCCCATGACTCCTGTGTCTCCGCACAGCGAGGCTCCTGCACCAGCCCTCAGCCAAACACCTTGGCAGGAAGGCAGCCAGGATGCCGGCGGGGCAGCGGCCTCCGCTTTGTCCCGTCCAACTCCCCACAGCCAGGGAGCCCCGCCCCCACTCACGGCGGGACAAGGTAGTCCGGGGTCAGCGCCAGCGTGTCCCCATAGCCAAAGCGCCGCAGGATGGTCCATGTGGTCTCGTGACGGCCCCGCTGGATGAACAGCGTGTTCAAGAACAGAAAGCCTGTCCCAGAAGAGACAGACGACAGGTAGCGCGGAGCACAGGCAGGCCCCTGCTGCTCCCAGGGCACGGCAGGGCGTCCAGACTCACCGTCCAGGGTCAGCCGGTCATCCCGCACGCCTCCGGCCACGTTCTTGCACACCACTGTCTTCACGTCCTCCAGGGCCTGAGGGGCCAGCGGGTGCCCAAAGCAGGATTTCTGCCCCCGAGGGAAGTCGCCGTCAGCTAGCCAGTTTCCCCAGCGAGTGCTTGGCTGTGCCCTCCAGGGATGGGCAGCACCAGCAGAGGGGGGCCGCACCTGGAAGGCGTTGAGCTCCTCGTCACTGAGCGCCTGGTCCAGATCCTGGTCCGAGAGTCTGAAGATACGCGTGAGGGCTCGGACACACGCGGGCCTCAGCTGCAGAGATAGCTGGCTCAGAGCGTGTCCTGCGCCACCGCTCCCACCAGCCTGGCCGCCTCCCCAGAGCCTGCTGCCCACCTGCTTGGCCTCGGGGTCGTAGAGCGGGGCTGTGGGGTGCAGCACAGCCTTCTGAGCGTAGTAGAACAGCTCCGAGATGTTCCTCAGGTTCTTGGCAGAGCACTGGTGGCCCCGGGGACAGACGCAGAGACGTGACCCGTACCACCAAACTCGAAGGGGCCCCCCGACAAGAGGCAGGCACGGGCTGTCTCCCAGGAGACCTGGGGTGTCCAGAGGCCAGCAGCAGAGGCCAGAGCACCTGGGCACACACTTTACCCGCCCGCTCACCTGCACACATGTCTCGATCTCAGGGAACTGGTTCATGACGGGCAGCACAGCCCCCATCGAGCTCCCTGGCCGCAGATCCGACTTGTTGCCCACCAGGATGATGGGGACCCTGCAGGGAGAGGCCAGCGGTCACCGTGGATGGGGGAACCAGTGGCTCCCACCCACTGGGCCCTGCCCGTTACCTGGAGCCCTTATCAGTCTCCCCATTCACCAGTGGGATCCACTTGGTTCGTATCTGAAAAGCAAGACCTAGCCGTGAGCACAGGCAAGCCCCTGTCTGGAACTCCTGCCTGGACTGGGAGAGGTCAAGGCCCGCTGAGGAACAAAGTTCTGGACACCGGGAACATGGCCACTTGGAGAGAACAGTCGGCAGATGGACCTCACTTGATCCTAACAGTCCCCAAACACCCCCAAGGAATCTGGAGTCACCAGCCCGAGGCAGCCCCTGCCACAGTCCTGGTAACCACCCACATGCTCTGTGGGGAGGCGGGGCCGTAGGAACTCCAGCCCACAGGCTCCCAGCGCCCAGGCCCTGGGTCAGCTGAGTGTCCGCCTGCAGTTTATTCAGAGGACACCTGGAGCTGGGTGCCAGCGGCAAGGACCTGCGACGCAGAAGGTGCTCCCACCCTCACCTTCTCAATGGTGGCCTCCTCAGACACATCGTACACCATACACACCACGTCTGCCTGTGGAAAAGGGGGTGAGGCACAGCGTGAGCACGGGCCTCCGGCTCCACGCCGCCTTGCTGGGGCCAGACGCCTTGGAACCCCACCCCTCCTCAGCACCCCGCCACAGCCAGAGATCCCCAGACACCGTCAGCTGCTCCTCCTGACAAGTCCTCCCGCCCCCTCCACCGGAGCCACCAGGTCTGCCGGGTCTCCTGCAAGGCTCAGGACTCCAGCCTTGGAACTGGGCACCAGGCAGCAGCCCTGCATTCCCGTGTCATTCCAGGCACGGAGTGACAAAGACCCAAGGGAGGACTGACAAGAAGGCTGCTCCTGGGTAGCTGGGGCCTTCGCCCTAGCCCAGTGATACCCCGGGACGCAGCAGAGGCTCCCCTCGGGCGCTGGGCGCGAGCACAGGTGCTCCTGATAACAGGTGGACAGTGGTGACCTGGAGCCTGGCTCAGGACACCTGCTGTGGTTCAGAAGCTCAAAGCAGTGCCAAGGGCTACGGGATGGTGGCACAGGCAGTCAGGGCACAGGCCTGGGTAAGGGGTCACTTCTCCCCAGAGCCAGCCGGCTGGCCAGCCGTGCAATGGCACGGTCCCTCTTCTCTCCAGCGTCTGGCAGGGCGAGCCCAGGGAACCGGACAAGTGGCAGGATTAGCGAGGCCTCGGGCCCCTGAGCTCCTCCACCTAATCCCTGGCAGGCAGCAGCGGGGGCGCAGCCCTCGGGACACAGCGCACCTTGTGAATCTCGTCCCGGAGCTCCTCTGGCGTCTGCTCGGCTTCTGCGGGGAGGCAGGGAGACACCGGGGCTGCGGAGCCCGCCGGGAGCCCCCCCCCACCCCGCCCCCGGGGCACAGCGCGGCCGGCCGGCTCCACCTGAGTAGTCCACGATATGCGTGGGCACCCTCTCCGGGGTGACGTCTGCGGGGATGGTGATCTCCTCGGCGCGGGGAGGGACCTGCAGGGGACGCGGCATGAGGGCGGCCCGAGGCCCGGGACCCGCACCGAGGGCTGCGGCCGCGCGCGCCTCTCACCTCCGCGGGGAACTCCTCGCCCACGAGCGACAGGATCAGCGACGTCTTTCCCACCTGGGCTGCGCGGGGCGGCGCGGTCAGCACATCGGCCACTGGTCGCCGCGCCCCCTCCCCACTCCGGCCTCCGCCCCGACCCCGAGACCCCCGCCCGCCTCCCCAGCCCGGCACCTACCCTCGCCCAGGAGCAAGATGCGCACGTCCCGCTTCATGGCGGCTGCACGGGCCCCGTCCCCGACCCCGTCCCCGACCCCGTCCCCGGTCCCAGCCCCGGTCCCGACCCCGGTCCCGACCCCGGTCCCGACCCCGACCAGCGCTCCCCCTCCCGCCCGCACTTCCGGCCCCCGCCCGCACTTCCGGCCCCCAGCCCGCCGAGCCGCACGAACGAACCGAGAGGGCTAGAGCGTCTCTGCCGTGCGGCAGCGCCACCGCGCGAACACACTGGGTATTGCAGGCCCGCCCCGGGACCCCCACACCCCCCACACTCCCACCCCTTGCACGGGGAGCAGGAGGTCGGAGCCTTTGGTGGAGGCCGGGCTCGGGCCAGGGCAGCGGGAGCCTGGAGTGACCAGCTGACCATAAGCCAGAATGCAACACCCACGTTTATTTAAAGTTGACAAGGTAGAGACCTAGGAGAGCCCGCAGGTGAAGAGCCCAGCAAACACCTTCCATAAGTTCAGGGTCTCGATGACTGACAATCCCAGGCCCTCTGGTGTGGACAGACCCAGGCCTTCTTGGCTCAGCAGGAGGCCCTCGGACGTCCCCGCTTCTCAGTCAGGCGGAGGCCCTGAGCTCAAGGACTGCTCGGAGGCCCGGTGGCCCATGACTTCCCACACCAAGATGTCACCATGGGCCACTGAGAAGAGCAGCTGGGCGGGCGGGGCAGACCTGCACAGCTGCACCACATCGTCATGGCCGGCCAAGTCCCAAGCGGCCCCCGAATGACAGTCCACCAGCCTCAGCACTCGCTCTGGGGGCAGACGGCATGGGGTTGGGGCTGGGCAGGCGGAGGGCTGCGCCCACCACACCCCGTGACTGTGTAGCTCCCGGGGCCCAGGGTCCCCGCCCTGTCCTAGTGCTGGGGCCTCTGGAAGAAAATGTGCTCAAAGCCCTGTGTCCTCCACACCCTAGGGACTGCCGCAGCTGGGACCAGGAGCACCAAACCTAATGGGGAGCCCATCGGCTTCCAACGCCCCAAGCTAGGCCAGTGAGTCCTTCTGCTCAGGCCCTGGGTCTGGGTCCCACAGTCAGCACCTCACACCCTTCATCTCCTAACCCTACAGTGCGCCTGGGCGTGTGTCCTTGCCCCAGTACAGGGATGAGGAACTTGGGGCACTGAGGTGAGACCGGTCTCAGGTGGGGCACGGCTGAGCCCCTCGGCTCCCCTCCGTCCCACTGCACCAGGACTCACCGGCAAAGCCAACGGCCACAAGGTGGGCCCTGGGGGACAGGCTCAGGGACATGGCAAAGAACGGCAGCGGGATCCTCTCCACCACCTGTGGACAGTGAGTGTGAGCCTCCCTTCCCCAGCCCTGGGGCCCTCGGGCTCCCAGGACCACACAGGGCGGGGGGTACACGTGCCTGCTTCTGATGAAGGTTGTAGAAGACTAGCTCTGGATGCATGCTGAGGCCCGCGCACACCAGCAGCGCCCCGTCCCAGGGGCAGAAGGCCACGAGACAGGGCGGGGGATGGCTGGGAGCCTGGGGAGGAGCACACACACAGCAGTCAGATGGGCGGGCACCACCCCCCCTCCCCCGTGCCCCCAGGACCCTTACCTCCGTGAGGGTGGGCGATGGGGAGCTGAGCCAGTCCACGAGCTCACAGCAGCCCCGCGGCCAGTCGGCAGCCCAGATGCTGATGCGCTGGTCTGAGCTGGCAGCCAGCCACAGGTCGGCCCCCTCTGTCCCGAAGTCTCCATACTGGGGTTAGGGAAGGGCTGGTGGGTGCCTCCCGCCCTGCCCTACCCGATCTCCCTCCCCTGCCAACAGCCCCCAGGCCAGGCCCCGCCGGCTCATGAGGCTGCTTCACCTCTTTGCTCGTGCTCTGGATGGTGGAGATGAGAGCGCCCTGGTGGTCACTCAGGACGCGGAGGGTCATCCCTGTGCGGGGGCAGCTCACAGCCACAAGCCCATCCTTGTCTCCAGAGAGGATGGTCTGACCTGGGCCAGACAGGGCCACAACGTTACCCTGCGAGCCCCTGGCCCCCGGCCCAGACGGGTGAGCACACGGAGGCCCCGTGGGCCCCACTGCTCACCATCGGCGGAGTAGGCCAGGGCTGTCAGCGCAGCCCGGTGGGGGTGCGTCTTGAGCTCCATGGCAATGCGGGTGACGCTGAAGACACGCAGGGTGCCGTCACTGTAGCCAGCCGCCACCTGCTGCTGCTCTGGGCGTCCGCGGGAGCGGGGACTCCAAGCCAGACAGAGGCAGCTCTGGGGGCCCACAGGAGGAAGACACGGGCATTCCCCTGGGCATGGGGAACGCGGGCCCAGCCCCAAGGCTGGGATAGACACTGAGGGAGGACACGGAGACCTGGCAGGGCTAGGAGGGGGTCTAGCTCGGCCCTCGGGGCCCCTAGTACCTGGTTCAGCACCTGGAACTGGATCAGGAGCTCCATACTGGCCAGGGACCACACCCTCACACTCCCGTCATCACTGCACGTGGCCCAGTGGGATGCGCTGGGGCTGAAGACCACCTCGTTCACCTGTAAGGAGCCAGCCAGCCGGCCGCGCTGAGGCTGCGGGGCCCTCAGGCACAGGGGAGACACGGCAGCCCCAGGTGTGTTTTGTTTTTTAAAGATTCTATTTTTTAACCTAACTCTACCCCGGACGTGGGGCTCAAACTCACAGCCAAGACCAAGACTCACACGCTTGTCGGACCGAGCCCGCCAGACGCCCCAGGTGGTCTTTCTGACGAGGGCACCATCTCCTGCACAAGCCTGCCTGGCCCCAACCACCTCCACGTGGCATCAAGAACCTGTCCTGCCTCCGTCCCAAGTACCCCCACGCGAGACCCGGGTGGGGCGGAACCTGACGGCTCCCTTGCCAAGACAGCACAGAAGGGACCATTCTGGTTGACCCTAAAAAATGGTGATGTGACGATGGGTGAGGACGTGTCCCCAGAGAGCTGCACACAGAAGGTGGAGGAAGACAGCCCAGACAAGAGCACGGGAAACAGGAGACACAGAAGCCACGTGCCCACAAAGGACAAGAGCATGGTCTAGACTCGGACGTGAATTTCAAGGATAAATGCGAGCTCCTGATATGTCACGTGGAAAAAAAGTAACCAGGGGCGCCTGGATGGCTCAGTGGGTTAAAACCTCTGTCTTTGGCTCAGATCATGATCCCAGAGTCCTGGGATCAAGCCCCACATCAGGCTCTCTGCTCAGCAGGGGGCCTGCTTCCACCCCACCCCCCGCCTCTCTGCCTGCTTGTGATCTCTGTCTGTCAAATAAATAAATAAATAAATAAATAAATAAAAAGTGACCAAGCTGTCTGGCTGAGCAGCAGCAGGTCCCTCTGGCACTTGGACCACGACCCCCTACATCCATTTCCCTCAGGAGAGGCCCCCAGACTCTGAGAAGGAACAGCCGAGTCCGGTTCTGGGTGGAGCCGCAGAGGGGACCCTGGGACACCTTGTCCCTCCACATGAGAGGGACGTCACCAGCGACCACCAGCCCCGGTCAAGGCTGTAGGACCCAAGGGCACGTGTGCCAGCAGGTGAACGGACACGGAGGCGTGTCTGGCACTGACGCACGCTGTGCTACAGACAACCTGGAGGGCCCCGTGCTCGCGGAGAGAGGGCGGACAGACAGGAATGCCCAGAACAGCTGAATCCACAGCAACAGAGTCAGCCAGGGAGTCCCAGGGGCTGGGCAGGGGGATTGGGGCGGGGCGGGGGGGCGGGTTGTTTAAAGGGTAAGGGGCTTCCTTTTGGGGAGGGGAAATGCCCCAAAATGGGATTGTGGCGACGCGTCGTGCAATTCTGTGAAGATAACAAAACCACAGACCCCCCCCCCCCAGCGGATAAGGGCTACAGTGTGTACCTCGTACCCGAACACAGAGCTGCCACTAAAAATCCACAAGCAGCACACGACACTCCCCCATCCAAGTTCCTCTGATGACAACCATTATATCAGAACAAACGAACAGAGATTAAAAAAAAGGAAAAGGATTCAGGAACCAACTCGAAGAACCTGCCCCTGGCCAAAGACGGGGCTTGAAGGGCATCACGAGAAGCCGTGACCACGAGGAAGCCGGACCCACATTCCCACCCAGCAGTGCGCACAGAGCCTCGCAAACTCGCAGACCCCTGCTGGCGGCCGAGGAACCAAGCCTGCACTCAGGAGACCCAGCCCAGCAGGGAGAGACTCGCCCACCCTGCACTCCCGCCTCAGCGCCACCCAGAAGAAACCAAGCTCGTGAGGCCGTCTCTCCTGGTCAGGATCCGAGCAGCACCCCAGCAAGCCCCACCGAGCAGGGAGCCATTCTACGAGCACAGCACCGACGGGCGAGCAGCCCTGGACCAGACCCTGGCCTGGCCTCCAGCCCTCTCGGACCCCAGGAACGTATAAGGGCCTAGAGGCAGGTCCAGCTGAGCTGGTGGGAGGTTCCAGGACAAAGAAGCTCGTTTTTTCCAACAAATAAATTATGAGAAAAAAAGGACAAACTAAGAAGGACAGAGAAGGCCAAAAGGCCCGGGTGGGGACGCATGTGAGGCCCGTACGGACAGGGTTAGCACACAGTTCCAGGCTGTCGTCATCTGGGGACTGCCTGGGCCACTTAGACAAACCCGCCGGACTGCTGGTCTTGGCCCTTGAGCAAGCCGGGGAAGGGAGGAGCAGAGCAGAGCCTGTGTGGCATACCGCCCTGCCTCTGTCCAGGGTGGAAATGCCCTCACCTTGCTCCTATGACCGCTGATGAGGCGGGTGCTGGTGCCCTCGGCCCAGCTGACATACCAGAGCGTGCCTGCCGTGGTGCCCACCACGCCCATGTCCATGCTGTCGTGGAAGACCGCGCTCACGACGGCCCCGTCCAAGGTCAGCTCACGCTCCATGAACACGGAGCTAGACCTGGGGTGGGGGGTGGGGGCAGGAGGTTGAAAGGGCGGCAGGAGTCACGGCCCAGGGACCTGGGACTCTGGGGATGTGTCCTGATCTTCGGGCTGCAGGACACTGGCCTCCCCCTCCCCCAGCCCCGCGGCCCGCCAGCAGCTCACCTGGCGCGCGAGCCCTCGCACCGAAGCT